TGTACCAGCATCCTTTCCCAGCATCTCTCCGCATTGTCTGGCAAAGCGAGGGGGGCAAAATTACCCTGGATACCACTGCTGCCCTCCTTACGTGGGTAAAACTCCCACTCGCTCTAGTGTTGCCAGAGTCAGGCCTGCAGGCTTTGGGCCAGAAGTAGCCTATTCCTAAATCCAACGTCAAAAGCCAGGCTGCATAGGTGGAGAAACCATCCTCTCCAATCCACCAGGGCATTGGCTTTCCGGCTGCTTTGCTGTGGCAGGATCTGACCCTGGACTTTAGTGGGACGAGGAGGGTGAGAACTGGGAGCACAAGCTGGCCCCAGGTACTAGTGAGACCATGCACCTTCATCAGCTGAGTAACCAGCGAACAGCCGCTCACTCGCTGGCTTTGATCAAATGAAGAGGAAGGCATGGAAATCCTGGGCCAGATTTTGAAAGGTGCAATTTTAATCGGCTTGGCCTGTGCACTCCCACCCTGCTTGTGCGTGTGTGCAGGCTGGGGCTTGCACACACAACTCCCCCACTGCCACATCCACGTGCCTGGGTGTGAGTTAAGCAAGGCAACTCTGCACGCGTGAAGGTCTGGTGCACACAAACACCTTTCAAAACCAACCCTCTCACCTGAAGGTGGAACATCGGATGTGTATTGATTGACCCATGCAACATGCCCCCTGCAGGTACCCGGGCAACTCATATTGGAGTCAGCCAGAGGCGCTTGTACAGTTCTGGTGGCACAAGTTACCGCCCAGTAAGTTTTTTTCACTGGGCCAATCCTGCAGACTACCCAGGTAAGCTTGGCTAGGACTGCTGGATTTGACCCTGTCATTACAGGTGCTCACTCAACGTGTTGCTCCTTCCAAAGAAGATGCAATCAATCCATTGCTAGGAGGCAGTGAACACAGGTGCATCAGCCTTCTTCGTTAGCAACCAGCTAATTAAGATGATAAGCCCATGCTTAATAAATGAGCGCTCTCTAGTTTCTCTCACCTTTTGGGAGGGGGAGGGGGCAGTGGGAGACAGAGGATTGAATTTCCCATTTGGCAAATACAACCAGATTTCGATCTATTGAAACATGGTTTTCCACACAACTGCAACCACCTGCAAGGAAACAAAAAAATACAAGCAGAGAATTCGTTTGTTTAAAAAATATCTTCAATAAAAAGGACCAACGTTCCTAAATTTTTTCTTTCTTTTTTGGGGGGGTGGGGGATAAATATTAAAACCGTGGGCTGTTTTTGGTCAAACATACAGACAGTCAAGACTAATCAGCATCCTTTTACACTGGGACACAGAGTTTCCAAATGATCTGAAGATACAAAAGCCAGGGGTGTGTGTGTGTGTGTTCTGCACAGCTGGCTGTGATGTGGTGTCTGGTTCGTTTCCTACCGAAGGGCAAGGGCTATCGGCACACTACTCTAAATATGGGAGCCACAGCCGGCTGCTCAAATAAACCATTCCTGATGCGTTAAAAATATACAGATATACTCTCCACCAAAGGCATTTCCCATCCCAAGCAAACCGCCCCCCGGACAAAGATCGCTGTCGTACATGCAACACTGAACTGTTCCTCTCCGGAAGGAAATCCCTTTATTTACAAAGAGACGCTAATGTGCAGTACAGGCCCAGGCATGGCGTGCATGGGGCCATCATGCCGGAGCATCTTTTCATAAGGGATGCCTGCAAGTTTCCTTACAAATTAATCCACGGGGAGGCGGAGGGGAGCATCCAAACAGGTGGGTTGGTTGGTTTGCTCTGTCTGGTTAATCCAGAGCCGAGATTCCCCAGGGCAGGGATTGGATTTCACTGCAGTGACCTCTGATTTGCAGCATGGATCAAGTAGCCAGGCTCCTGGCATGTAGCTGCAAGAGCCCGTTCAGAGGCAGTAAGGTGCAGCCCCAAGAATTGCCATGGGTTTGGAAGTGGCCCTGGTAACCGGAGTGGAGTGGAGACAGTGGGGTTGCCTGGCTACCATACCCACAAGACCCCACGTCTCATTCTTGACAACTGGCTCTGCTCCAAGCCCAGGAACTGCACAAGGCAGGTAGAGAAATCTATCCCCCTGACCCGCGCAGGTGGAACTGCAGACTAACCCCTTCCCTGAGTGAGCAGGTCGGTAGGCCTCAGATCTCAGTTTGAATCTGGATCTGGGGGCAAACAGCAGTGACAACGTGGCGCCTCGTACTTCGGGGACTTGGCCGCCTCACAGCTCCACCGTGCACGCTTGCAGTGGTTCCCAAGAGAAAGGCCCCACGCAGCAGCTGATGCTGGGGGGCGGGGCGGAGCAAGGTGCACTGGCAAAGCTACCTGGAGGATGCTCACACTGGGGCAGTCTCACTAAGCATTGACCCCAGCCAGTGCTTTCATGAGCACTGAAATAAATCTAGTTTCATGAGAAACCAACCACGTGAGGCCAGCAGCGAAGGGACCCTGGGTCAGGGGGATGGGTGTATCAGAGACCAGGGCACCTAGAGCGAGGAATGGAAGTTGGCACAGAGTCCCCTACGAGCAGGCATCTGTTGCGGGGCATGATCTGCGTTTGCCCTGCTGGCTGCTCGTTTACATTGTATGAAAAGACTCTCCTGCTGCTTTTTGCCCTTGGAAATATCTGGCCCTGACCAGTGGCGGGCTGGGGTGATGCTGGAACAGGGGGCTGCAGCCCAATCCCCCAAGTGATGTTTCCATCCGTGTCTTCCATGATCACGCTGTGGGGCCAGAGCTGAGGTGGCACCCAAGCTGTTTCAGACTGGGTCTCCAAGGCACAGCGGTCTCTTTCTCTCCTGTTTACCCATTGTTCACCCTTGTCGCCCGAGCACAGTACCGCGTGCCCCGGAGACAGCCTGGAACTCTAGGGCCAGCCTTGAAGGAGCGTATGGAGGAGACACCAGGCTGGCGTGCGACACTGATGGCCGAGCTGTCTGCATGGCCCTAGGAGCCCCTATGTGTAGAGCCGGGCTGGCAGCCGGCTAAGACCCCTTCCACGCTCTGCTGCTGCTCTCTCTCAGCTGCCCCCAGACAGGCTCTTTTGGGCACAGGGACACAAAGCTGTTCTCTGGCCCCAAACAGCCACAGCCTCTGCTGGCAAGGTCAAGGCATGTGCCCCACACCCGGCTTGTCCGGTGTCCCGGGGGAGCAGATGGCGCCGCCCGTGCGTCTCACGTCTACACACTGCTGCATTTCTCTTCTCCCTCCCCCTCGCCCGCCTCAGGCCCTGTGAGCCAGGAAGCAGAGGGGCCACGCAGAGCCAGGATGGGGGAAGGAGAAGGGAGGGAGAAGAGATCCAAGCCCAAAGGAGAAGCCAGTTGAATCTAGTTCCATTAGGCCGTGCTGGCTTCTTGGGGGCTAGGACATCTCAGCTCCCTCCTGTCCATTTCTCATCTCCTTTTCCCCAGGGGTGAAAGTAACTTAAAGGACTTACTGGTACCCTGGAGTCCTGAGTGGGGCGTGGCCTCAACCGGAAGAGGCGGGGCCTTTAAATCACCCCCAGAGCTACTAGCTGCAGAGGCGGCTGGGAGCCCTGGGGTGATTTAAAGGGCCTGGGGCTCTGGCTGCCGCTACCGCAGTGGAGCTCCGGGCCCTTTAAATCGCTGACGGAGCCCTACCCCAGGCTCCGGCAGCAGGGCTCGGTCGGCGCTTTAAGGGAGCGGGGTTCCCCACAGCGGCAGGAGCCCCGGGCCCTTGAAATCGCCGCCCGAGCCCGGCTCTTGCCAGTACGCCGTACCAGCCCACTTGCACCTCTGCTTTTCCCCCACTCTCCCTCTGCAGTGCACCATTCTCCTCCTGTAGCTTGAGCCCAGGCCCCCGGGGGATTAGAGGAAAAGGGGTGGGGCTTCCCCACATCATTTTCTGTATCCCCAATAGAGCCGCTCGGCCCCTGGAATTCCCATGCCCTGGGAAAATACAAAATTTAAAAAAAAAATCTGTTCTGAATGGAAACAAAAATTCAACCATTTAAAATTTCCGGAAAACTTTGAACCTTGGACATTTTGTTCTGCAAAGACTGAGCCGACATTCCGCCGGGCCGTTTCCCCAGGCTCCCGAGCGGCCTCGAGGGCTGGCGAGCACTGGTTTCCATTGGGGGCTGAAAACCAGGCGCCCCCACTGGTTGGGAAACCAGCGTGTTGGGTAGCGACCCCAGGAGGCGGCTTGGCGGGCCAGGTGGCCTGCTCTGCTCTCAGGTCTGGAGATAGCCCCAGGAACAAGTCATAAACACTACTAGGTCGGGGGGGAGGACTGGGGCGAGGGAGACAGGGACGGGCACAGAGCTCCTGCTGCCTCTCAGGACATTACAGCTCAATCCTCGCAGTTCCCTGCCCAGCCCAGTTTCCTGCAGGCTGATTCAGGTGCCAATATCGAATGGTTGTAAAGAGAGGGCAGGGTACTGGGCCTGGCCCCAGTCACGGGTCGAACCCTCGGGCCATTTAACAGGCAGAGCAATGTAAACCTGACCCTTGGCCGTGTTTACACAGACACGCGAGCTTTGTGAAATCCACACCCCCCGTCAAGCCAACAAAAAGCATTTAAAATAAAAACGTGAAAAAGATGGCCGGGAGATTCCGAGACAGGACCCGGCCGTGACCCCGGGCGCGGCCGGGAGGGGATAAAGTGACCTCTTCAAAAGGGGAGAGGGAGCAGAGTTCAGCCACTTGGGGCTCCCCTTCCCCCCAACAATCCCCCACTCCCCCCGCTTGCTCCCGACGGGAATTCAGTAGTAAGAGTGAGGCCTGAGTTTGACGATCGAACGGCAGCGCCAGCCCGGTCCGATTCAGCAGCGCCCACAGGTGGCACCGGCGGCGGTGGGGGAGCAGCAGGGGGGATGTGGTGCGGGGTTCAGGGGTGACAGTGTTTTCCAGTGGCCGGGGGACCTGGCTGATGTTCATTGCTAAAGCTAAAAAGTGGAGGTGGATGGTGAGGGGGCACGTGAGGGGAGCGGGAACTCCGGCCCCCTGGTCCCAGAGGCCTCCCCACCTGCCCCAGACAGAGCCAGAGCTCGGGGACCCCCCCGACACCGGTGTACAAAAAGAACTGTTTGTGGTGTTGCCACGGGCCGAGGGTGGCAGGCGCTTAGGACTCCGAGGACGACCGCGAGACGCTCTGCTGCAGCGCTTTGTATATGGCAGAGTTCAGGAAGCGGGGATAGGAGTCTCTGTGCATGAGGGTGTAGATCTGTAGCTGCGCGTCGTCGAAGGTGTGCGTCGAGGGCTCCTGCATCTTCTTGTTGATGACTTCGCGCACCCGGGAATCCAGGCTCACCTGAGGAGGAGGAGGGGAGGAGACAAGGCTGTTAGGGGAGGGGAGGGGCAGGGCTGGGGTCCTGCACCCAGAGCGGCAAAGCCCAGCCTCACTCCCCCCTTCTGCCAGACTCCCCTGCACCTTGCAGGCCCAGGCTTGCAATGGGCACATGAGGCCATGCGGTTTTCAGAACAGCCCCCCTTCCCCCCAGCCCGCACAGGCCAGCCTTGGCTGAGAAGGAGAAGGTGCTTTCCCCAGATGAGGCCATGGGCTGCACTACTGGAGCCAATGGGGTCTCATCCTGGGCTGCACCCGCGCCGCGGCCCTCCTGGGCTCCGGGGACAAGGCTGTGCTGGCCGAAGAGGAGGGTAAGATGGCTGGATGATGGGCAGACTCGAGCCCTGGAATCACCCCGCTGATAGGATCGGCCCCTGCCGAGGTCAGGGCTGAACTGGACCTGACCCTTCGGCCTCGGCCCAAATCTCTGATCACAGAGTCGGGTGGGTGAAGTGCAGCAGGGGTGGCCAAGAGGATGGGGCAAAGGGAGCAGGAAAGAATTGGGCCCGTGGCTGCATTTGCCAGGCCTGGCTCCTCTGCCTGCTGGGAGAGCGTGCTGGGAAAAGCCCTGCTCTCCCCAGAGGCGGAGCCTTCCCCTTGGCCGGCAGAGTTAGCAGCTCCGAGCCCCTCAGCCAGCCCAGGCCAGCCGCGGGCTCTGAAATGCAGTGTAGATGTACCGCAAGTGACTAGCACCCGATGTGGGCAGTGAGCGCGACGGGGCCAGTAACAGGTGGATTCCTGCCCCGTGGCTCTGTGCTGTCGCGTGGGGCTCTGGGAGCAGCTGTGTGATGATCCAAGGGGCCCACAGGCCTCTGGAAAACCAGCTGTGGGGAAGCAGAGCAGAGATGCCACAAAACCCTCCGGCCGCCCTCACATCCCTCCTGCAACTCCTGAGGGGAGTAGGTGGCTTTTGTAGTTTTCTGGTGCCCTCTTGAGGTTTAAGCCAGTAATGCACCCCATCTCCCATCCATTCACTCCGCATGTTTCTCTCCACCTCAAGAAGGTCACAAGCTAATGCCTGACACAGCCACGCTGTATTCAGTATTGTCTCTGGGCAAGTTCCACATGTCCCCTAGATACAGGGCTTCTGCTTTATTGGGCAACGGCCCCAGTATCTGAGTACCCCAAGTCAGGCATACCCGAGATCTGTCCTTTACCTTTACTCTCCGGCTTTATAATACATAGAAGATCAGGGTTGGAAAGCACCTCAGGAGGTCATCTAGTCCAACCCCCTGCTCAAAGCAGGACCAATCCCCAGACAGATTTTTGCCGCAGATCCCTAAGTGGCCTCCTCAAGGATTGAACTCACAACCCTGGGTTTAGCAGGCCAATGCTCAAACCACTCAGCTAGCCCTCCCCCCATCTGTCTTCCTGACCCAAGGAACAAAGGCTTGAATTACACCTACATTCCACGGTACCCGCTATGCACATGAGATGGCTGCAGGCTTGGACTATGGGGCTGTTTTATTGGTGTAGATGTTTCGGGCTGGAGCCAGAGCTCTAGGACCCTCCCACCTCGCAGGGTCCTAGAGCCCAGTTCCCACCTGAGCCCAAACATCTACACCGCTATGAGTCCGAGTCCCACAAGCCTGAGTCAGCTAGCACGGGCCAGCCACAGGTGTCCAACTGCAGTGTAGACACACCCCTAGTCTGACCGCCTGTATAACACCGGCCATAGAACTTCCCTGGAACAATTCCTGTGTGAACTAGCACAGAGCTTTCAGAAAAAGATCCAATCTTGATTTAAAAATGGCCAGTGATGGGAAATCCACAAGGATTAATTCCCCCCCCTTTTAAAAATCTACACCTTATTTCCAGTCTGAATCTGTCTGGCTGCAACTTCCAGCCATTGGCTCTTGCTATACCGTTGTCTGCCAGAGTGGAGAGCCCACTCTCAAGTATTTGTTCCCCATGTAGGTGCTTCTAGCCTGACAGTGATTGCCCCTTAACCTTCTCTTTGTAATGCCTTCATGAGCCTAGTCAGGGAGGAAGGATGTCAAACAACTTCCATCCTTTTGGGTGCATTCACTCCCCATCAGGTGAGTCCCCGTTTCAGCTCCTGCCGGAGGCCAACGGGTCCTGAACGGATTTCAGCAGGGGCACTGCTCCAGCAATGGCCGAGGTTGTTCTGTTCTGAGCTGTGAATGGAGAACCAGCCCTTTTTTTTTTGGTCTGTCAGCACCTTTGCCCCGCAGTGGGGCCAGCCAAGGCTGAATGACATGAGCGTGTGGACTCGCTTTCCCTCACTGCCTCGACAGGGAAGCCCGCCCCAGTCGGAGCATGGCTACCAAGCAGCCTGGAGTTCCCAAGAGCACAGGGGCTCGGGAATCGCCCGCCTGGCCTGCCAGCATGCGGGGAGGGGGCCCAGTACCTCTTTGGGCGAGAGGATGGAGATGTAGTCCTCGTAGATCATCCTGGCCTTCTCGTCGATGGTGTGCTTGTTGCACTCGTTTTTGAGTTCCTCACATGCTAACCAAAAGAGCATGTTTTCCTCGCTGTACTCAGTCCGTAAGAATTCCCGGAACACGTTCCTGCCCGCTGGGTTCTTCATCAGCTTGTCGAACGACTGGGCCCAGCCCTGCACTTCGTCGGGAGTTGGCTTGAGGCTGGTCGGGCCCCGGCGTCACCAAAACAAAAGGGGATTCACGAGAAAGAAAGAAAGGGACAGGAGGGAACAAAACAGGATTATTGTGAGCCTGAGCCACCTGCCTGCTCCGAGCCAACACCATCTGGTACGCAGCCATGGCGGGCCGGGAGAGGCTCGACAGAGTTTAGAAACTCTCACCCTGTGACCCATCTACCAGCTGCTCCTCTGCACCTGTTAGAAAACCTGCCCACAGCTCTCCCTCAACCTCTCTCTCTTCCAAATGCATCTGGACTCTAGAATTTAGGAACCATCCTGCAATTGTCGCATTTCATTCTCCAGCTTGATCAGCTCTTCAATCTGCCTAGCATTCTGGGGTGGACTGACACGAGAAGCACTGTGGAAAAGAAAGGGTATTATAGAGTAAGGCTAGGTCTACACTACAGCGGGGTTCCGACCTAAGATACGCAACTTCAGCTACGTGAATACCGTAGCTGAAGTTGCGTATTTTAGGTCGGCTTACCTGGCGGTGAGGACGGGGGAAAGCCGACCGCTGCCGCGCTGCCGCTGACTCCGCTGCCGCCTCTTGCCGAGGTGGATTTCCGGAGTCGACGGCAGAGCGATCAGGGATCGATTTTATCGCGTCTTCACTAGACGCGGTAAGTCGATCCCCGATAAACCGATTGCTACCCGCCGGATCGGCGGGTAGTGAAGACGTAGCCTAAGGCACTCTGGCCAGGTCCTCACACGTATTTAGGCTCCCAACTTCCACCGATTTCAATGATTTTCCTAAATACTTTGTAGGAACTGGACCTTGATGAGTCTAACACTTTCCTGATAGTGCTATAACGTACTATTAATACTAGTTGCACCTGTGGTAGCTTTCCTGAAATGGTCACACCGGGGTTTTTCTGTTTGTTTAATCGGCCATTTGACCGGTCGAGAGGCTGTTCTTGATCTCAACTGAATTTCACAGTTTGAGACGCACCATTTCGCTGCCGGGCAGCAACTTCACAGCATTCCAGCAAGCAGTCAAAAAGGGAACGAAGAACGACCACAACCCCCCCTCCCCTTATTTTAGCGTTGCGACAAAAGGATTTTGAAGAGAGCCCATCTCATCTCCTGGCCCTGAGCGCTACTCTGTTTGTAAGCTCTGGAGAAAAAAAAAACATCAGAGCAGCTTCTGCAGCATGTCAGTTTAGCACCAAAACGGAAAGCTGCATTTCTTGTTGGTTTCCTTTTCGGACTGCAAGATGGACGTCTTTGGAGTGAATCCCCTATGTGTGTGTGAGTGCCAGCCCAGCACGTTTGAGCTGTAACCACAGCGCCCCTTCTGTTCTACTCCCTATCTCCCCGGACAGCCTTTACAGTGGTGGGCTTCGGAATTTGTTTTGGAGACATGGAAACAATCAAAACCTCAGAGCTCGAGAAAAGAAGTGGGTCTACGATATCACCACGTGTTTCTCGCCACCTTCTAAAGGGCAGCGCGAGAAAGCCACTTGGCAGGAATGTAGGTTATAGTTTATTATTACTGTTTCCATTGCATCAGCCCCTCGGGTTCCCCCGTCACGGGCCAGGACCCCACTGTGCTCGGTGCTGTACAAACCCAGGACTGGAGCACACTGAGCGACTACCAGACGCACGTTTAGCAAATTCCTAATTTTAGCTCCCAGATTTCAGTTATTAGTTCAAATCATTGGACTATCTCCAGGAGCTCGGGCTGTTCTTCCAGCAGCAGCAAGGCAATGTACTGAGATGGCAGGATTTAGACTGAATAATGCCCGGCTCTCTCATGCTGCCTGGAGGAAGCTCTGGGGTTTTCATGTAAACTCCACAGCCAAGCATGCTGCAAAGGGATGCCTGCCCCTCTAGACAGGTCTGATTCCTGGCCTTGGGCGGGGGGAGATAGAGAGAAGCCGGCGCCGGCCGGCAGCAGGTCCATGCCTCACCCACCCGCTGGGGTTCCCGAGGCAAACGGAGCCTCATTTTGCCAACAGAACGGAGCAGTCCCTCGACTAATTATAAAATCCTTATATGGCAAAGGCTCCCACAGCAGCCGGGCCTGCCACCCCCCTTCAGCCTTGGTATTCCGCGACCTTACGGCCCGAGGTATATTTAGATCACTGCTGGCTACGTTTAGCTGTCAGTTTCAGTGTGGGAAAAACAGGCCTGGAACAGCAGGAGGGTACCACTGCTGTGAGTGTGCCAATCTAGAGGGGAGGGGCACAGCCAGGGCCTACGTAAGCTGGTACCTTCGCCCTTATAACCTCTCCTCCCATGATAACAGGACTCCTGTAGCAGGGAAAGTATTAGCTAGTGCTTGAAGTGCAGGCCTGGGAACCAGGAGGAATGGGGTCTGATTCCTGCCTCTGCCATCCACTTGGCTTGTGGCCATAGGCAACAATCCCTGGCAGGCCACTTAGCCTCTCTCTGTGCCTCAGTTTCTCCTGTTAACGGGGGATGATCACCAGCAGCAGCACAGGTGTGTGTAAAGCACCAAGATCCTCGGGCAGTAGGTGCTAGAAAAGGATTCTTACTTCATCAGGAGGGGCTGGGCCAAGCCCAAGCAGCGAGTGGTGCTGGTGTCTGAGGCTGGGAGGTAGGGCCAGGGAGCAGAACCACGCTGGCCTCGCCAATCATTATTCCTTCCCCCACTCTTTCAATTTTTGTTCATAAACTGCCCCTCTGAGCCGCCCCTCTCAAGCCCTGACACCTGAGCTGCACGCTGCCAGGGAACGGGGGTGCGCCTTGCCATGGGACGGTTCAGTCCATTGCAGCTGGCAGCCTCTTCAGACCGGACTGACTGCATAGTGGCAACAGGAAAGCTTAAAACAAAACAAAACAGGACAATGGGGGGGGGGGCAAATAGCCCAGCCAGTGCAAGAGAGACGGCCCACGACACGCAGCAAACATGGGGCGAGGGGCGCACACCAACGGCTGGGGAGGAAATAATACTTTCCGCCTGCTGCCTGCGGCACATCCCCCAGCTCGGCATTTAAACACTCCTCGGCACCTTCAAACGGGAATGAATTCAGTCTCATGAGCACCTTCACAAGTTAAGGACATATTACAATGTCCCCCTCTGGGGGAAACCGAGGCACAGAAAGGACAAGCTGTGTGTGACCCAGGAGAAAGTTGCAAGCCACTGGCAGGGCAGGGAACAGAACCCCAGAGTCCTGACTCCCTGTTCCCAGGACTAGCCGCGATGCAGTGGTGCAGATCAGCATGATGTGTGTGTGTGCCAGTGCGAAGGCAGCGTGTGTGATGCATCAGGGGATGGGGCAGAGTCAGGATCCAACACACACTGCCGGCTCCTCGGCAGACTGGCTAGACAGCAGAAGGGCCCATCTGGCAGCCCGACCTATAGCTGCAGGCAGCTGCCAGCCCACTAGCCATTCACAGAAAGGGTCCGAGTCACTCACCAAGCTTCACAGTTTGGAATGGTCTCCAGTTTGGTGTCTCGAGACGCCCGCCACGCTCGCTCCCGATCTTCGTTCCTAACAAGGAGACGGAAAGGTAGTAAACGGCGCTCAGAGGGAACAGCCGCCCGCTGAGGCCCAGGCGCTGCACCTTTCCACAACGGCACTACAGACCCAGGCTTGATGCGAGCAGTGCACCCAGACAGATCCACTCTGTGCATCTGGCGTCTCCTAGGGTCAGGCTGGCCTTTTAAAACGATCCTGAACGCTCACTCTCTGCTGGAGCCTGGTGCAACTGATCGGGTCTCTCGCGGTCTCTGGATCTTTTGCATAGATGCTGCAGCCCTTTGTCAGTTCACATCCTTGTCCGGTCACTACCTGGCTTTGAAGAATACTCAAATCCTCAGGAGCCACCTTGATTAGCCTGTAAACAGTTTACCTTCCAACCACACTTATTTGCTTGTCAACAAAGCCCAGGGGGAAAAGGCCACTTCATACCAACAATGTGACTCAGCCTCAATTAGTTCAGGCTGCTGAATCGCCTCTTGTTTTGTTACACATGCGGAGCCCTCCAGAGGCAGCAGCTACCTGACCTGTCCCTGTCTGCTTCCTCCCCCAGCTCCCGCAATGCATCAGAGCCCTAAGTTGCCCCCACCCCAGCCTCTACCCTCGACGGGATTTCACGATGGTGTCCCGTGGAGAAAGGCGAGTGCACGTCCCCTGCTCCACTTCCAGCCAGGCACAGGTGACTGCGGGCAGTCAGACAGTAACAAGGGCTGCAAGAGGTCTCTGTTTTGGGGGAGTTGCAGAGCCATATCGGTCTCTGCTCCCCTCCCCCAATACAGAAACATCAACCGCTGCTGCGTCATCTACTGGGCCAGGTTAATTCCGAACGCCGTTACCCACTGCTGTGTGAGACAGCTGCTACGGGGCAAAGTCAGCCCCTGCCCCTCTCTCCTGCCAGCTGCCCACGATCACTTTGCTCTCTGCCAGCCATAAGCACGGCAGCTCCACAAACCGAAACACTTTTGGTTGGTTTGGTTTTGTAAAAGGCTAAAAAACTTCAGCGCTCTTACTGGGCTCTTCCCTCCCTGCTTCAAAGTCATGCGCCAACAGACCTGGGTGTCCTGGTGTGTTTTTAACTGAGAACACCCTTTGAGATGCCTGGTTCCTATTGTTATCAGGTCCCCATTCCGCTAGGCGCTACAGACACACATAGTGAGAGATGGTCCCTGCCCCAGAGAACGTACAGCTTGACCAGATGAGACAGAGGCCCAGAGACCTGCCCTCGTTCACACAGCCCCCGAGCGATCAGACCCCACTGTCTCCCCAACTCTAAAATCCAAGCCTCGGAGATACAGGATAGCGCTGAATTACTGCTCTCACGGGCGAGAGCAGTATAAATGCTAAGACAGAGACATGCAGTATTGTTGTAGCCGTGTTGGTCCCAGGATATTAGAGAGACAAAGTGGGTGAGGGAATAGCTTTGACTGCACCGAACTCCTGTTGGTGAGACACAAACTTTTGGGCTACCCAGAGCTCTTCTTGACCTGAAGTTCCCTCGCCAACAGATGGAAAATTCAAAGTGGCAATTACTGGCACCAGCCAGTAGAGGGCACTGCTGCCCCAGGCCAAAAACAACAGAGGAAACACGAACCCAACAGGAACCACTTACAATAATCACGAAAAAATGAATCCATGAGATTCTAGGCTGGCTCAGTTCTGAAGTCAGTGGCTCAGGCAAAGGGAACAGTGATGGGATTTCAGATTAATCTAGTTCCTGGAAGCCCCAAGCGCACCGAGAGCGGGGTAACCTCTGGCTGAAATGCACTGAGATACTCAGATCCCACGGTGATGGGAGAGGGTATATCACCCTAGACAGAGTCAGAGGCCTGGTCTACACTAGGACTTTAATTCGGATTTAGCTGCCTTAATCCGAATTAACCCTTCACCCGTCCACACTACAGAGCCAGTTAATTCGAATTAAAGGGCCCTTTAAATCGATTTCTGTACTCCACCTCGACGAACGGAGTAGAGCCTAAATCGATTTTGTTAATTCGAATTAGGGTTAGTGTGGACGCACACCACCGAATTACTGTGTTTAAGTTAATGGGGTAGTGTGGCCGCACACCACCGAATTAATGTGGTTTAAAACCGAATTAAGGTGCTTAGTGTGGCCGCGCACAATCGAATTTATACAACCTGTTTCCCAAATTCGAATTATCTAAATTCGGATTAATCCTGTAGTGTAGACATACCCAGAGAGAGAAGCAAACGCCTGCATCAATGTCTGACAGCTGCAGCAGGGAAAGCCAAGCTTGGATTTTATGCTTTCTCAGAACCCCAAATTTTCACTGGAGCGAGCCAAATTGGTCTGAGTGAGAAAGGGGGTACAGTACCATGGGGGCTGTAGGTACTTTCAAAGGCCTACTCCCTAGATCTGGTGCTGAGAAGTCCTGGCTGCCCTCCATCAATGGGGGTGGGATAAGCACTCACACCTCGAGCACCCCCAGCTGGCGGAAGTCTGGAACAGCATCAGCAGCAGCTCAGGTTCTCCTAGCCCTTCGAGCTTGTAGGAAAGACAACAACTTCCATCAGGAAACGACAACAGGGCGGACAAAAAATCACCTCCTTAGCTGAGCTGGGCGAATGAAACTGGAGCAGAATTGAGTCTATCTGCACGGGGATCCTTCGGAATGGCCTCGAAAACAGGCGGCTGGCTCATAAAAAGGAGCTGCTTGTGCAGGTTTCATGGTAATGCTTTGCACTTCCAGAGCTCTAAGGACAGCAGCTCACATTGATGAATTAACTCTTAAAACTCCCTGGGAGTTAGTTCAGGCGGATCATCTCCATTTTACAGATGGAGAAACTGAGGCACAAATGTTCTCTGGCTTGCCCTAGATGACATAGGAAGCTGAGCTAGGACTGAAGCCTGGACTCCTGACTCCTAGTTCTGCACTTGAACCGCTGCACCCTTTTACTTCTCCATAGGACCATCAGCTTCCCCACAATAAAATGAACACGACCCAAATCTGGATACCTTGGAAGCCCCACCCTGGCAACAGCCATATGAAGAGAAGCTTAAAGCTACAGCCATGAGATGTACTGATGCAAAGCGCTACCCAACAGCTAGGAGAGTGTAGGTCCTACCGATACCAAGTTCCACTGGCTGGGAATTTGCAGGCCAGTCTTTGCCCCTGAGAGCTGCAAGGGACCTGCTCTATGGAAGCAACTGCCCGTGGAAAGCATGCCGCTGACATGGCCAGGAGCACGGCCTCGTTCCCCTGGGAGGTTTTGCTCCAAGGGGTTGGTTTGGGTTTTTTTGAAAGCCCCCAAGTGAAACCCTTGTCTCCCCTCTCTCGCCAGGAAGGGTGCTGTGCAATCGGAAAGCAGCACGCAGGCAGGCAACTTCCCTTGGGCCTCTTGAATTTCACATGCGTGGAAAACCGCAACAGGAGCTGCACTTCCTGTTTGCGACATTGTCCCTTCTCTGCTCTTACCAGATTAAGACAGAAACTTCTTCCTTTGCAAGGCAAAGTCTGCACAGCAGGGTGGGGCTCAGAAAACAACCAGGGCAACCTCTCACTTCCTCCAGGGCCCCTTTCTAGAAGGGCACCGAGGCGGCGTGAGAGCCAGGCTGGGCTCTGGCAGCTCTGCTATGGGGGTGGCTGTCAGCTGGTTTACAGCCGCCTGCTCTCCTACGTACTGCTCAGGCCCGTACTGTCTGCAGCCCGGTGCTCCCGCCCCCCCAGGACATGCACAGCTTAGCATGGCAGAGGTTCGCTCCCCACTCTGCTTTTAAGTTATTTTGTACTGGGTTGGTTTTTTTTGATACATCACAAATGGTTGGTGCTTCAAAGCGCTCGTCCCATCGGAGGAGTTGCCGAGGGCTTTACAGACCTTCATTAATTCTCACAACCCCTCAGCGAGGTAGTTCAGGGCCACGCTTCCTACTTCTGAAATGTAACCACTTCTGGGGTGGAGCTTAGCTGTTGCGTAGGTACCCTGCAGCTGTTTAGGACAGGTGGCGAAGGAAAACGTGCAGGGGAAATTCAAAGCAGCAAAATGTGATCAGCCCAAGTGGACTCTGACCATTGACTCCCTTCCTTTTAGAGACGGTGCCACAGGGTCTCATCCGGACGATAGCAGCCCGCACCTCTACACTACGCAGGAGCGCTGCTTTGGAACTGACTCCGAGGGGAGAATGCCACCTACTGAGTCACCGATACCATCTCCTGCACTGACTGCATGTTCCTTAGAAGTCCCCCATGCGAGCATGGTCACAGCCCAGTCCTGCTTAGCTTGCAAAGTCTGAAAAGGCCACGGCAGAAAGTTTCTGTGGCTGGAGGAAGCATACGCTGTGCTGTTGTTGTTTTCAACTGGGAAGTTTATTGCAAGAAAAAACTATTCGCTGTATGAATCAACAAGGCCAAAAGTGCCAGGGGCTAAAGCAAGGGTCTGTGTAGCGAGTTTGGGCTGTCTTAGCATGGTTACCCAGGTGTGTGCATACACACATGTACACTGGGGGCGGGGCCTGAGCAGGGATTTCCAGCAGAAAGTAACAACTGGACAGCAGTAGTCACATTGCCTCTGCAACCCTGGGGGTGAGGTGTGGGGACAGCTACTCCGCAAAGGGGTCTTTGAGGGTCCACTCACTGTCAGTCTGCCTGGATCAACAGGTCTGGTTTCCGCCTGCAGGAAGCCACACAGACGGGAGAGAGCCGCTGCGATGGATCTGGGGACTCTCCCTTGTGCGGAAGGTGGCTTTGTTGGAGTACTGTAGTTCACTCTCCACCCCTAGCTGTGCCGAGGGGGACCGGACACAGTACAGGGACAGCGAGGCCCAGAAGGGAGACAGTACATGAGATAGCACCTCATGTCTGCCTGTATGGGGAGGAGCTGATACAACCCATCGCAGTATTTTTTTTTTTTTTTTTTAATTAATGGAGATATCCTATCTCCTAGAACTGGAAGGGACCTTGAAAGGTCATCGAGTCCAGCCCCCTGCCTTCACTAGCAGGACCAAGTACTGATTTTGCCCCAGATGCCTAAGTGGCCCCCTCAAGGATTGAACTCACAACCCTGGGTTTAGCAGGCCAATGCTCAAACCACTGAGCTATCCCTCCCCCCTTACTCAGCATCTTGCATAGCCAAGACATCCCTAAGCCACAGCAGGCCAGACTCATCCCTGGAATTAGCCGCCAGCTCCGCTGATCTCGCAGCAGCGGCGATTTTGCTCTGATGAGCTGGGGAGTAACAGTGCAGAGTCTGGGTAGCCATCCAAGGTCAGAAGCCGTCGGAAGAGAGAACGTCGGCCACATCACCTGAGACAGAGCCTCAAACAGCGCAATGGGATCTAGGAATCCCGGCGGACATGGACAGGAGACATAGTGAGGGGCAAGCTTTCGAAGGAGGCACAGGGGGTAACCGTACAGCCAAGTGCCCATTTGCACACACAAGTTCCCAGGCAACCATTGTGCGGTGGGTATTTGTGGGATCCTCCTTCGTGAGAGAGGCTGGGCTTCCAAAGGTCACAGATCCCCCCCCCCCATTAATCTCCCCCCCCCCGGTCATACAGTGCACAGAACAAATGTGTCCAGCCCACCGGAATGGTTTCCTGCACCCCACCAGCCTCCTCGGGAGAGGGACCAATTCTGGGCCTGCCGTTCAGCGGGCAAATGCTGTTTGACACTGAAAACTAGGGGCATCTTGCTTGGGCAGGGACACTGTACCACTGAACCGTGCAGCAGCTGCTGCCAGCTGCTCTTACAGCTGTGTTTACATGGTTTTAAGCAGCTCCCTGCACGACAATGACAGAGATTCTAACCAGGAAGAATCATTATTTCCCCCCTGACCTGGCTAAATAAAATCAAATCACCTGCGTTGGGCATCGTAATCCTGAGCAGGTTGTGTGCAGACATGGGAATAACCAGACCACAAGACTGCCCACCTGCTGGGCTCAGAAATCCAGCCTGGGTATTTAGTGCGACTGGCACCAGAGAAGCAAATACACCACCTCATGAATCTGTGCTGGTACGAGCCAGGCAGGGGCTCCCTCCCTCCGAATCAGGAGAAGATTGGGGACTATTTTAGGTCCATTTGAAATAGATTATCGGCCCTAGATCTGGGGGACCGAGAGTCTTATCACCTGCATGGGATTTCTGTGCCGCCCTGAAACAGGCACCAGGTTTTGGCCCCAAAGTGTTACTCACACTTCTCCGTGCTGTGCAGTCTGGTAGGGGCAGCACAGTCCGTTTAACAAGTTGCCAAAGAGCGATTAATAGGCCAGGCCTCAAGGATTCCCCGGACCGCAAGTCGCTTTACACTCCGTTCATTTCAGAAAACTCGCCCCTTTCCTCCATTTACTACGTTCAGAATCTCAGGACAAAGATCGACAAATGCCTTGCGTGAAGGAGAGTGAAAACACACGCACGCACAGTGTGCTCCATGGGGCTCAGATCAACCCGCAGCACAAACACTGGGGCCATCTGCTCAAAATGGTGTTTACAGTCAGTTTTTAAACACTGCACCAATTAGCCTTCAACTATAAACCAAGCGCAAATACACAAATGTCCTGGATGCTTCAGCCCGGCGGGTGGGGGAGGCCGTTCCCACACATGCCCCACAAGCTTCTAGTGGCAGATTAAGAAAAGGCAGCTCTGCATTTTCGGAGGCCTCGACCAACATCACACCCAGCCGGAAGAGCCTGCAGACATCTCCCCCAAAGGGGTGCTCTGGGCTCAGCGCCGTGGGGCATTGGCAGAGCTGTGCAGAGGAAGCTAGCGCTGCTATGCTAGCTTGGCTGTATTGTCATGGGCCAGGAGCGCACTGCACAGACACAGACCACAAGATGGGCCCTGTCTCAGAGATTTTACAATCTAAGCAAAGGACAAAATCACAGACGAAGGGGTCCCCCCATGAACAATACACCTGGCGTTTGAGCAACATGGAGCTGATGGGGGAGATTTTGGAACACGACCCACACGGGGATCCAACAATGGTGCCAGAATGGTGGCACAGGCGCCACTCTCCCCACAGGGCCTCGTCCCCGAGACACAGGCAGCAGCGGGTGAGAGGGATGGGGAGGGGGCTTCTTTAGCGCCTCTGGTACTGAGCAGGGCACACAACGTACCACGAGCAGCTGCAGCAGCAGCACCAGCAGAAGCAGCAGGCATTGGGGCGGTGGTTGCCAGCCGGTTGCACCGTCGTCGGAGAGGTCTCATGCCGGGACATCGAAAGGGGTCTCTCTGTGGACTCAGGTCCCGTGTACTGGAAGGGAAGAGCACGGAGAGGATAAACGAGCCGCAGGGCCTTACGAACCCCTCCCAGCTCAACTCCCCCCCACTTCCTGGAACCCAGATCCCCCCTCTGCTTCGCGCTGGTCGCCAGCAGCACCGCGGAGCGCAGACACCCTCTGGACAGAATGACGAACCTTTAGGTAACAACCAGGCACCTGTACAACCTGGGCAGTTAGCAGCTGGGCTAGAGAGGAAAACGCCTCTTCCTCCAGAGGGGTGGGGCGAGGGCGTGGGCTCTTTCTGCCTCCAGAATGCAAAGCACAGACAGGAATCTGGCTGCACAGAACGCCACGCCTTGGGCGGTAGTTCCTGCATTTGCCCTGCTACCTGCTCAATGGCTCACTGGGATTTCTTGAAGGCTCTCCCCTGGCCAGCCAGTCCAAGGATTTTCCTTTACGATGGTTATTTCATCTCCGGTCCCCCAACAGGTCAGATCTCCAGCTCACCTGCTTCCCAGCTTCATACACAGTCGGCATGGGCAGCTTGTATGTTCCCTGCTGGCCCACCTCTGCTCGCCTGTCCTCCCAGGTGACGGTGACTGTCGACACGCCCCCCTAGGGCCTTTGCAGCCTACTGGATGGAGCCTATGAGAACAGAGAAGCATTCCTTAAGCTAAATCCACCTGCAGGCCAAAACAGGGACCCCCCTCTCCTGCAGGCTGGGGACATTTAGGCAGGAAAGAGCCACTGAGAAGGGAGGTGCTCAAAGTTAGCAAGGGCTCGTCTCCAGCACTGGAGCCAACGGAGCACTCCTGACAGCGGTAGAGGGGCAAGAAAATAAAGGATGCAAGGAAGGAAACAAAACGTGAGAGGGAAAGTGCTGCTCCTTTAGGAGTGTCTGTCCAAGCAGCCCCTTCTGCAGTGCTCATTGCTAATGCTTCCCTGCGCCCTGTGCTGTGCTCCCCAGCTCAGAGCGCCATCGCAGCATTAGAGGAGCCTGCCCACACTAGGTTCTGCCAGTGATTCATGTGCTCCGGTGGGAGCCAGACAGTAGATGAGGCCCTGGGGTCGTCCAGCCCTGCCCTGCCTACTCGACAGCTCCCACTGGCCGTAATTTTTCGTTAGATTCCTCTAGCGTAGATACAGCCTTAGAGAACTGGATAAGGCAAGAGCCGAGCTTCTGCCTGTACGAACTACTATGGCCCGGCCTGTTACAGGCTCCTTGGTAATGATCCAGGAGGACCATGGATTTGATTAACAGCGACACACCCTGTCCTGGCCTGCCCAAACCTGGGGAGGTTCTAACCCCTCCTCAGCCAGAGGGACAAGTGAGGGTAGGAATGGCCAATGCAGATGGATGGGTAGGAGCTACCCTGGAAAGTGTCTTGTCCTGCTATGGACAGGATGGAGAGAAACAGAGCTGAAGACACCTGTGCCCTACAGTTACCCAGAACCACGGGCAGGTGGAGAGTGCTGTGGGAAGACAAGCTTTGCAGTTGAACCAGTTTGCACCTCTGCTCGCATGGGAAGAGACCGGGTACGGTTCAAGCTCCCCCAGCGCCATCTTCATAGTAGAGAGTTGAGTTTTACTAGGGGAGTGCGGGGCCCGGGACATAGGCGCTGGGTTTCTAATCTGCTGGGGGGTGCTCACCCCTGGCCCCGCCCTCGCTCCACCCCTTCCCCCAAGGCCCCACCCCCACCCCGCCTCTTCCCCATCCAGTTCCGCCCCCTCCCCGAGCACGCGGTGCGGTAGGCGCTGGGAGGGAGGGGGAGGTGCTGATTGGTGGGGTGCGCCGGCAGGCAGGAGGCGCTGGGGAGAAGGGGAGCTTCTGGTAGGGGGGCTCCTCCTCGCCCACCCCCTGTTTGCCAGTGGTTCACCTCCTCACCCCGCTCGCCCGCCCGCCTCACCTCTCAGCCCGCGAGGCCCGGGATAGTCGCCCCGATTCGCTGTACCCAAGGGACAGCTCTGGCCTCTGGTACCCCAAATGTCTGCACAGCATTTCACCAAGCAGGGCGGCAGGCCCTGGTGCACAGTCACCTCACTAAGTGAAACACAGCCCCTAGGACACGCTCAGAAATACCTCCCACAAAGTGTTGGCCTTCCCGGCCCTGACTTTGTTGAGAGAAGGATTTCTGGCTGGGAGATCTCTGACTTCCACCTGGAAGGCAGATCAAACAAATCCCCCAAACATCACATGAAACCCTTCCTTATCTATGAGACCTCTTGTTTGGAGGCGAGAGCCTCACGCAGGGGAAACAGGCATGTTATACCAAATATTATGATCGAAGGCTCTGCTTGGAATTCTGTTGTGCAATTCCATGCTCTCCGCAGCCACGGAATTTACTGCCTCCCCGGGCGAGCTCCACCGTGACATTAAAACACAGCTGCATCTACCTCCCTCCTGGGAAGCCCTGTACGTGTAAGGGGAGTCGATAGACTCAGGAGTCAGAGGCAAGTCCAGTGATGCAGGACAGGACTGCGCTGGAGAGGCCGAGGGAGAGTTAGATGGTGCCATCTGAGCACAGGGAGATGGGGAAAGGAAGTTTTCTTACAAAGCAGGGCTCAACAGTTTTCAGTTGCTAAGAGGCGCGAGTCGGCAGAACAGGTACAGAGAAGCGTTTCGAACTGCTGCTCTAAAGGCCGGAGGGGCTCGAAGACACAATGCACTCATGCGGTGAGGGAGGCAAACACACCTCCTCTTCCACCATAGCCGCGGCAGAATCACAGCAGAAAGAACGGTGCCAGACAGCAACGTGGTTCATTGATCTGGGCTGCGCAAACCAGAGGGCCCGCCCGAGCCCCCGGCATGGCAAAGAACTCTCAGCCCGTCTGGAAGACATTTCACTGACAGGAGGAAAGGACGCCCCTGGCAGAACAGAAGACAATTACCAGGCCGTGACACACAGTTCTAGACGGATGGCGACGGAGGCATGTTTATACTACTCAGCCGCTCCTCGAGGTGCTGCCCACCCACTTACCAAACCTTGCGAGCGGCGGTACTTTTATACCCCCACTGATCCCCTCACAATCTCTGACATACGTATTTATCCTCAAAACACCCCTGGGAGGTAGACGGTGCTGTTTGGGGCGGGGGGTGTCTCTTTACTGCGTGTTTGTACAATGCCCAGCACCATGGGGCCATGATGGGGGTCTCTAAGCGCTAATGCAATACAAATCATAAACAAGAACCATGCCTGCATAAGGTTAGCCCCTCGATGAAGAGAACAGCCGGGTCAAAGGGAGCTGAAGCAAGACTGAAGTGGGTCCAGCCATGACATCAACCTCTCCCCTCCATTTATCAAAGTAACTCCAAGTTGGCGTAGGAAGAACGGTGAGAAGCAGCTTCAGCGTGGCAGGGAACTATGCTCCGTCCTCTCAGATGGGAATCTAGCCCCAATGATTCACGCACTGAGCATCTCCTTACTGGAGTCAATGTATCTCAGGCTGATGATGGGGCAACGGAAACTTCAGTTTGCGAAGAATTTTGCAGCCCACTTCTTTCGCAGGAAAAGCCACAGAGAACACACTTTCCATAGGCTCCCAGGTCATTTCTGGGCTCAGTCCAAGCCCCTGGGCCAGGGTGGATAAAAATTGATGATTTTTTTTTGGAGGAGCAGCGGGGGAATCAGATTTTTTTTCTGTTATTTAAATTATAAGAAGTTTTTCTTTTTAAAAATAAACCTGCTTAAAATGCAATTTGAATTTAATACAAAATGTGTTAAGGCCTAAACTTATTATGATCTTTTAAAACAAATAAAAAATATGCTGAATCCGAGTCTCTAGCAAAAACTTTGAGTTAAAGGCTGCTTTTCTATATAAAGAAAGAATCTGGGGAAAACATCCAGCTTTTGAGGTCAAGCTTTATAAATATGGCACACTAGGTCATGGACTGTATTAAGGGCTTGTTTTGTTTAATAAAAATAAATTGTATATGCTGTTTTGTGTGTTTAATTAAATTTCAGTTACCATCCTAATGCAACTTGACACAAATCATGAACAAAAAATTAATTATCTAGTAAAAAAGCAATATATCCTTCACCCTGTTCTGACATACTAAAAAGGTACAGTTAATAAGAATCTGAAAATATTAAGCTAAGTAACTGCATAAATAAATGTATATAGCTATAATAGCATATCCTCCTAGGGAGCAAAAAGATGTACCAAATCTAGTGTAAAGACTCTCTATTTAGTTGTAAATCAACATGTTTTAATGGTTATATCAATGAATGAGAATGCATCTTTCTTTAGAAAATTACAGAAGTACAAATGCAAAAAGGTGAAATCAAGGCTTTCGATTTGGGGATTTAAACCATGTTTAAATCAATCCAACCTACTCTGGGGCTGGAATCTTTCCAGGCAAAATTTACCTGACACATTCTAGCCAGGTAGCCTTGCTGAACTGTCACGGCAGCCCTGCCTCAACTCAAAGACTATTATCTTACAATGCTACATTTATCCCTCCTTCCCCACAGCATCGTTCAAAGGCTGCATGGCAATCCCATCCCATCCTCTATAGTCAATCCTGAACGGTAACACTGGTTAAACCAGCTGTTCAATGCTTATTTATGGATGTTGTTGCTTTTACTTTAACTTTGCATCATGGTACACCTCTACCCCGATATAACGCAACTCGATAGAACACGAATTCGGATATAACGCGGTAAAGCAGCGCTCTGGGGGGGCAGGGTTGCGCACTCCGGCAGATCAAAGCAAGTTCGATATAACGCAGTTTCACCTATAACGCGGTAAGATTTTTTGGCTCCCGAGGACAGCGTTATATTGGGGTAGAGGTGTACCTCATTTTAGGGCCATGTTCCATCCAGGCGCATGTCTTCCACAACTTTCCAATTGAAAAATTTACGGCACAACTAGGCTCCAAAATTTAAGCTTTAATTAAAATTAAACACCATGATTGCAAAAAGAATCTTAATAATGTAAACCAAACGGGACCCAATTCAGCCATGCCTGGCTGCCTGCATTTGCAAATAAGACAGCCTGAAACCATAGTTCCAAGAGCTGTAAACCATCCCTGTTCACTCTGGATCATAACGACAACAATTAATATGTCACAATAATGAATTTTTTCACTGCTGATCATTTTAGCAGAAACATCCTGCTAGCGTTCTTAGCCATCATTTTTGGATGCAGCAGTGGATACTGGGACAGTGAGGAGGGTGGTTGCTGTCAAGGATGAGGAACTAAGAGTTGATGCCCTTCACCAAAATTACACATCACTTCTGCCACTGCCCATTACATGAAGGTAAAAGCAAAAACCTCTCCCCAAAAGTAAAACCCTCAACTGTGCTCCTTGGTGCTCAAACCAGCAGATTCGCTGGGCACCAATGCCCCATGTTTTCACCACCCATGTGTCGAAGCCTCCAATTCCCCACCCCTCTGATAACTCCTACAATACAGTTCTGTGCTGCCCGTACAAAATCCGCAGCACAGTAAACTGAACGCTGGGAGGCAGCAGAAAATAGTTTGGTTTGGTTAGCCTACTCAATAACCACACTTTTAAAAAGGTTTGGTGCTTGCCACAAACCTGTCAGGCTGCTGCATAATTCAGCACTAGGATGCCACCGAGATCAGGAACCATTGTGCTAGGAGCTGTACAAACATAGAGCAAGAGACAGTTCCTGCCCCA